TTCGCGGGCGCTGCGGTGCAGCCCTCACCTTCAGCATCGGCGGCATCACGCTTACCATGGTCGTCGAGCCAGACTGGGCCTGCGAGGACGTTGCGCCGGGCGGGTGGGCCGCCGGCGATGGCCGTCTACTCGCCTCAGCCGGCTTGGCCGGTGGGCACGTATTGTCGCTCAACTGCATGCGCTGAAGAGATGCTCTGGCGTTCTCATGTAACTTAAGCTCTTCTCAATATTGATTATTCTGATCAACTATCGTCGCAGCTACAATCTGGGCATTGGCCACTTCCAGCCTGGCAGTTTTAAGTTGTTCTCGGAGCTCCTGTCTTTCTTGTTCCGCCCTGGCTGTAGCGATCCTTTCTCCTTCTGTTCTCGCCACCGCAACAGCGGCGGATGCTGTCTTGGCATCAACAGACTGATTGGTCGCCGTCACAACGGCCTGTCGTTCGGAGGCTATCATCTCAATATATATATATATATATATATATATATATATATATATATGATCTCGGTGTATTCTTCCGCGCGCTGCTTGGCAGCCGCGGTTTGATGGGGCATTTGTTCCACCAGTTCTTGTTCCCGCTCTCTGGCCGCCTGGGCCATAGCGAGTCTTTCAGCCTCGAACGTCTTCCGAACGTCCTCAATGACTGCATTCATCTCTTCTCGGTCTAGTCGGGCTTTCTCGGCCCTCTGGGCTTCACGGGCCAGGAAGTATTGCTGAGTTTTGGCCTCGACAAATCATGCCCGATCCTGCACAGCCTGGGTGAGAAGGCATGAGCAATTGCGCTCTTCCATCCAACCACTGATTGCTACAAGTGGGACACACGTCTGAGCAATTCCTACATGCTGGGCGCCTGCAGGCTCCATTCGGCCTGCGGGCTTTCCCCGGGCATCTGTTCTCCGCCTGGGGCGGGCAGTTGGGGCCCCAGTTCCAGCATGTCTCGCGCATGGATATTGTACTGTTGCTCCTCGAAGTGGATCGAGCTCCAGATCTTGGCATCTTGGCCCTTCCCCTGCTCGAAGCATTCGAACTGGGACGTATGTGCGCACTCTCTGGCGGTCGAGTCTAGCCGCCTCTCGAAGCTCCCCATCCCTTTCGTCTTTTTGAATCAACTCATTCAGCGAAGCTGGGGGGGGTGATCATTTCACCATCCTCAACTACAACAGGTATCGATGGTTGCCAATCTCCTGTGGCGACAGCAGTTCGATGGAACTCTTCCTGAAGCGGGGAATCGTTCAAGTCGTAATATTCATCCCTTTGCTTCTTGAGTTGAGAAGCGGGAGTTCGTCCTGTGATCTCCCGGTCATGCTTCGCATGAGTCTGAAACTCCATTTCCACCTCGACCGTCTGGGGCGGCAGGTCACTTATCTCGGTGTCCGAGTCTGGTATTGCAAACGCTTTCCCAAGGGCTTCCACGTGATCGTAGTCAACTGTATCCTGCCCAGGGGACCATTTCTCGTCTTGGACGGGGTGGTCTGCGTCATTTATCGAAGACAAATCTATGGAGTTCATGTCGTCTCCATCATCAAGCTGTTCATCGCTATCTTGGCCGGTCTGTCCGTTCAAGGCTATCGGGATGGGATAAGTCCCTTGAGCGTTTCCCCATCCGTCTGGGACGGTGGGGTACGCGCCTCTGGACCCCTCAGCTTCTCCCGACCCACTGGCTTGGCCAGCGGCCGGCACAATAGCCCGCATGGCAATCGGGCTGGAGTTTATTGCGCCCGAAGATTCGGCAATCAATGACGATAATGCTCCTCGTCTTATCTTTGCTGTTGTGCCGTCCCGCCTCGTCGGGTTTGGGGTCTGTTCACGATCACCGATCGGGATTCAAGAGGGAGAATCATCTCTTGACAAATGTACAACTTCTCCCCTGCTCCTTCCACGAGAGACACGAGTGGTGATAGAAGAGGGAAGGCGGCCCTTCCCCGGGTCGCCGTCCTGTAGCTCTTGCCCGTCATGTTGTACAGCTTGCGATCCGACGGGCAATTCGGCTGTCTCATCATAGCCCATCCCTGTTGCGACTTGGTCGCGGGCTTCGGCTGGTAACCAATCTTTCCTCTGGGAATCGGGGTAAGATGACAAAGGAATTAAGGTCTCGTGTTGACTCTGCTCAGTAGTAGAGGATATACGATGAGACAAAGATGAAACTACAAGTAACCGTTAAGCAACTGCACTAATTAATGGGAAGGGCGGAGGCCGGCCGGCCGACGACACGACGACGACGAGGGAACGAAACCTCGGCGCGCGCATGCAGGCCAGCACGATCCTTTTCTATCCTAAGAGCAAATACAGCTGCGGAACAGTGCCGCAGAGTCCAGGTGTGGCAAGGCAGGCAGCGAGAGAGGCAAGTGTAAGATGAGGCGGAGAGGAGCATATTTACTCTCCGCCCAAGCCCCAGTTGGCCGTTCCACTGCCTTCGTGAGGCCCCAGCAATGCCAATCTTATTTTATTCCATCCAGTGCGTTGCAGCGTGGGTTGCTAGCCAGGTTTCGCCCTCGTTAGCAGCTGGCGACAAAGGGCGGCGAGTTGGGGTTTCCCCAGGTAGCGGGTGCGCCCCCCTGACAGTCCCGAGTTGGCTCAGGGACTGTCCAAAGGCGGCCCGCTCGCTGTCCTGGCAGCTTGGTCAGTGATCCCTCCTCCTCCTCTTTTCCTCCCCTCCCTCCTCACTCCTCCGTCCTCCCTCCTCCCTCCTCTTCCTCCCTCCTTCCTAATCCCTCATCCCTTTTCCTCTTCTTCCGCTTTCCCCCCGGCTCCCTGCTCCCTACCCCCCCCCGTCCGACTTCTCTACGTTTCTCCTCCCCCCTTCCCCTCCTCCTTCTCCGTCTCCTCCTCCTCCTCCTCCTCCTCCTCCTCCTCCGCCTCCTCCCCCTCCTCCTCCTTTGCTGCTGCCTGGGCGAGCGCGCCTCGATCCCCATGGCGAGAGGGGCCAGGGGCCCTCGTGCCCGGGCTCGGAGCGGAGCCGAGGGCGCGGGCCCGGACTGGAGGGCAGGGGCCTTCGAACGGAGACCCCCCCCAGGAGGAGGAGAGGGGGGATGAGGAGGGGAAAGGGAGGAGGGGGGAGGGAGAAAGAGGATGATGATGATGATGATGATGATGATGATGATGCTGATGCTGATGATGATGATGATGATGATGATGATGATGATGATGATGATGATGATGAGGATGATTTGCGAGGAGGAGAAGTAGAAGGACAAGGAGAAGGAGGAGGAGGAGGAGGAAGAGGAGGAGGAGAAGGAGGAGGAGGAGGAGGAGAAGCCGAGGAGGAGGGGAAGGAGGAGGAGGAGGAGGCGTGGAGAGGAAAGGGAGATTGAAGGCTCCAGTGAACAGGAAGGGGAGGGTGAGGAAGAGAAGATAAGAAGAGGAGGAAGAAATGAGGAAAGAGCAGAGGGCCCTCTGGCGCGACGGGGGCAAGCTGGGAAGGAGCTCCTCCAACAACTACCATAGAGACCTGCGGGGGAGTGGTTCGTTTTACCCAGGGAGAGTGCGAAGCGCGGACGGAGTCTGAACCCAGCGATCCTGGCATAGAGACAGAAGGAGGAGGAGGGGGACAGGAGGAGGAGAAGGAAGAGGGGGAAGGCACTTGCAGTAAAGTTTCCGGTGGGGTTCTCGAGACTAGAGGAGGTGCAAGAGGAGAAGGACATGAGGAGGAGGAGGAGGAGAAGGAGGAGAGGAGGAGGAGGAGGAGGAGGAGGAGGAGGAGGAGGAGGAGGAGGAGGAGGAGGAGGAGGAGGAGGAGGAGGAGGAGGAGGAGGAGGGAACAGGAGGAGGGGGGAGGAGGAGGATATGGGGGAAAGTACTTGCAATAAAGTTTCCGGTGGGTTTTTCGAGACTGGAGGAGGAGAAGAGGAGAAGGACAGGGGGGGAGGAAGAGGGGGACAGGCGGAGGAGGAGGAGGAGGAGGAGGAGGGGAAAGGTACTTGCAGTAAAGTTTCCGGCTGGGTTTTTGAGACTGGAGGAGGAGGAGGAGATGGACAGGAGGAAGGAGGAGGAGGAGGAGGAGGAGGAGGAGGAGGAGGAGGAGGAGGAGGAGGGGGAGGAGGAGGGGGAGGAGGAGGAGGACGAGGAGGAGGAGGAGGAAGGCGAAAGTATTTGCAGCACGGTTTCCGGTGGGGTTTTCGAGACTGGAGGAGGAGAAGGAGGAGAGGGACAGCTCCAACGTGACACCTACGGCCCCAGCAGTGCCCAATACGGATCGAATAAGAAGGCCATATCTTGCGGCCTTGCGGCTGCTTTCGTCGAGGCTTCTCCAGGGAGAGTAGGTCCGAATCGGCTGACGGCCGCGCTGTGCCGCGGCCAATTGGCCCGAAGACGACCAAGTTCCAGGTGCCAGATACAAATGTTCTAGGTGCCACTTAGGGCGGTTAAGGTTTGCGAGGCAATCCTAGGCCATCCTGAGGCCATCCTGAAGCCATCCTGGGCCTCCTTGGAACCTCCACGGCGCGATTATATCGACGAGTCATAAAAAAACCATCGAACGAATGCACATGTTCCAAATCCTCGCGAGGCCCGTCTGGGGGCGTCTCGGGGCATTGAATCATCTTAGGGCCCTCTTGGAGTATTGAATCATCGTAGGGCCCTCTTGGAAGTTTCGTGGGCGATGCTGGAGGCCCCTTGGGCGCTCCGACAAGCCATTGGATGGCCCTGGCGGGCTTCTCAGGCTGTCTTGGAAGCCTCTTGGGCAAAGTTTGTTTGGGGCATCCTGGCCAGCCCTAGAGGCCGCCGCGGGCCTCCAGATTGGAGGGCGCCAGGAGCAGGGGAGGATGAGGGGGGGGAAACGTTGAGGAGGAGGAGGAGGAGGAGGAGGAGGAGGAGGAGGAGGAGGAGTGAAGGGGCCCCAGGACACACATAAATACACACACACACACCCCATATGTTCCCATATTCTCTGGGTGTCTGTCTTCCCCCCCCCCCACACTGCCCATAATTTCCCATATTTTCTCGGGAATCGAGATTGAATTGTGCCTGTGTGTTTCTTTTCCTCCTGAATGAGGGGGGGAAATGCGTTGGTCCTGGGGCCCGAACTCCAGGACCTGGCCAGCAGCCACAGTGCGTAAACGATCCGTACTCAGGTCCCCGCCTTGGATACCGAATTCATGGTGGCGATGCCCGTGCTGGCGCCGCGTCGGAGCTTCGACGCGTCAGAGACCTTGATGCGTTTGGCGAGCTCGTTGATCTCCGCCACCTGGATGGCCTCGGAGCCGTGTTCGGTGAACTTGACAGCGATGATTTTGAAGATAGCCTTGTAGGCGGTTGCTACTTCATGAAGGCTCACGCCGTCCAGTAGAGGGCTGTCCTCTGTGGAAAGCACCTTGCCCGCCTCCAGGTTGTTCCAAAACTCCTGGTCTGGGAAACGGAAAGCACCGTCCGCGAGCAGGGGCGTTACGGTCAGGTTGTGGCGCATCGCGTGCACGGACGTGGCCGCGAAGGTGACATCACTCAGCAGCTCCCTGCGCAGAAGGATCACGACGTGCGGCGATGCGGATAGCTGGCTCTGAAGGATGCTGCGGTTGCCCACCTCAACCGCAACCTGCAGCCTCACAGACAGCAGGCGCTTGACCACCTGAGCGCAGCAGGCCGACTCCATCTCCTCCACGCTGCCCACCAGAAGTACCTCCATGCTAACGCCCGTCGACGTTCTGTCGTCGCCTGAAGTCGTTTCGGCGCTCGGGATGGAGCCGCTGGCCAACGAGGCGCTGCCGAAGCGCAGCACGCGAGAGAGATCCTTGCACTCCCCCAGCAGCTGGTCCACGATTTCGCCGCTCAGGCCCTTGGAGCCTCCGAGGTTGAGCACGGTCTTGCCCCTGAGGCGCTCGTAAGCGTCAGTGATGTCCTCCTTTGCGATGCCGAGGCTGGCGAACTCGGCAAGCTGCGGCTCGGTCCACATCTCCTGAAGCTTAGCGATCCGGTCGTCGTCTGGCGGCAGCGTGCCATCGCAGGACACCAGCACGACGTTGACGCTGTTCTGGGCGGCGCTGACGATCTCGCACGCGCACCAGGGCCGCAAGAGCGTCTCCGCGGTGAGGAGGATCACCAGGTTCTTCGTCTCAAACGCCACCGTGTGGAGCAGCGAGAACAGCTCCTGGAGGTTGTCGCTGTCCAAAAAGACCTCGTCGCGAATGCTGTCGCACAGCTGCTGCTTGAACCAGCGCGCGAGCAATTGCGCCCCACCTTTGTGGTGGGATAAGAAGGCGCCATACCTCTTCGGGGGGAAGATGCTCTGCTTGAAATTGTACGCTGCGACTCCTAACCCAACCCCGAAGATGCCGACCAGCAGAATGACAAGGACGACCTGTATGACCACTTCGACGTTGTCGGAGCCCAAGGGCGACAGGACCATGCCAGTGTTCAGGATCATGAGAAGGCAAATGGCGATGACACAGTCAAGGAAGTTGGCAGAGCTAGTGCGCCAGGGGAGCAGATAGCAAACACAGCCGAAGATGATGATGAGCACCAAAGACATGGACAACCCCTGCATAGCAGGCAAGTCAGCGAAGACCACGGGCACCATCGCCATGAGCAAATTTCGGATCACAAACATCAGCGCGTAGTAGTAGCGGTCCGCGCGGAAACGCCTGAACAGGAACTCGGATTGTCGCACGAAGACCGCCCCATCGCGCACCATCCTCACAGGATACATCCAGACCACCCACGCCACGTAAGAGACGAACGCGATGATGTATAGCAGGATGGCGATAACGGAGAGGACAATCATTGCGCTATGATCTCCACTCCAACACAGGATCGAGCGTTCAGCGATGAGCGACATGCTCTCGTCTGGGTTGCTGCTACAGCGCAGGGGCATCAAAGCCATCATTGCCAGTGATGGGTATATGAGCATAACGATGTTGCCTTGCGCGTTCCACACTTGATAGGCTTTGACATCGCGGCCGAGCTTCTTGAACACGCTGAGTACCAAGAGCAGACCGAGAGCAAACACTGGGTACACAAGCAAGCTGAACAGATACGTGAGCACCGACGAATTGGACCGGAACACGCACTCGGGATTCAATATGTCAATTTCGAAGGTGAGCAACAATACGACTCTCTGCAGCGAGCGCATGGGCTCGACCCAGCTGATGCGGAGCTGCTGGAACGCGGCCAACGTCTGGAAGGCAGTAACGATGAGGGAGCCCGACAGGGCCACGGTGAGGAGGGCCGTGTTCGAAACCGATGTCGGACGCGTCACGTACACGGACAGCGCCTGGGGGGACGAAAACATACCTACACCTATACCGCTACTTCCCGGAACTCTCCTGGGGTGCGGCCTGACCAAAATTTCGAGGCGAATCCAGCCGTGACGACGAGAGCTCTCCAGGACGAGCAGCGGTATCGGTACCCCTTCCCCCCGCTGAACACCACGGTGAGCCCCGCCGCGACCACCAGGCAGGCCACGACGGGCGCGACGCCAGCGCCGCTGCCGCACTCCATGCACTGGCCCTCGCCGTCGTCGTAGAAGCCGACGGGGCACTTGTCACACGCCAGGCCCTCGCGCGGCGCCTCGCACTGGCCCAGCGGCCGGCCGGCTGGACAGTTCTCGTAGGCGGAGCACACGACGGTGAACTCTGGCAGGCTGCCCTCAAATCGTGTTCCTGCTAAGTGGGCTTTTGGTCTGCTAAGTGGGCTCTCGACGTGCCTGGTCCTGCTGCTGGTATCCACCTCGCGCTCGTCGTTCCTCCTTCGTCCTTCATCAAATCCTCTTCTCTTCTCCAATCCTCCAGTCCAAGGCGCTCTCGCTCGGAACTGCCTCATTCATCATTCAAGCATGGCGCTCCCGCCGGAGACTTCCCCACAATTTGCCCACACGTTGTGACATCGTCACCAGATACCTCCTTCTTCAGGCCAGCGGCGCCTGGGGCCCTCCTAGCAGAACTCGACAAGAACAGCGTGTTCACACATGTCGTTTAGTCCTGGCCCCGCCTCCCTCCGCCCTCCAGTGATCTCTCATTCCCATTACCTCCTTCCTCTAATATTCCTCCTTCTTCCTGTCTTCTGCCCCAATCTCCCTCCTCCATCGACCCTCATCATCGCGAACTTGCTCCAATCTTCGTCTGTTTTTACTCAGGTATGGCGCTTCCGCTCTGGGGCGTCTGTAAACTGGATCTGGGAAACGCGCTCTCGCCTTAGCGCTGACTACTTCCCAGAGGCCAGGGGCACCCCGACCGCCTCCTCCCAAAGCACAAGTTGACAGTACAAGTGTTTTCAAATAGGTCGTTTAAGAACAATCTCGTTCCAGCCGAAAGCCGCCTCCTCCCTCTTCTCCTGCCTCCTCCCTCCTCCTGGAGATCAGGGCTGCAGGGATGTCTTGGGCGAGACGGGCAAGAACGCTTCTGGCGCGGCATCTCGGCGCCCAGACCTGCGAGAGGCTCTGTGGTGAAACGTGCCAGAAAACCTCACGCCCGGCATCTCGGAACCCAGAAATGCGAAGATATCTCAGGCAAAACGGGCTAGAGCTCTTCGCGCGCGGCGTCTCAGAACCCAGATTTGCGAGGATGTCTCGGGGTGAAACGGGCCAGACCACCTCGCGCGCAGCATCTCGAGGCCAAGATTTGCGAGGATGTCTGTGGTGAAACGGGCCGAACCACCTCGCGCACGCATGATATCTCGGAGCCCAGAGTCGGGCGACACGGGACAGATCGCCTCGCGCACGTATCTTGGAGTCCAGAGATGCGTTGATGCCTCGGGCAAATCGGGCTGGACCGCCTCGCGTACGGCATCTCGGAACCCAAAGCTGCGAAGATGTCTCAGGCGACATGGGCTGGACCACCGCTCGCGCGGCATCTTGGAGCCCAGGGTTACGAGGATGTCTCGGGCCACGCGGGCTGGAACAAGGAGCACCCCGCGCACGTCCCGAATCCTGACCTGCCAATGCTTTGAACACTTCGAAGTCCGAATGGTGAGGATCTCTTGAGCAAAGCTCTCGCTGGCCCCTCGGCAAAAAATAACCTGCATCACGCCGGCACCCCGGTCAGCACAGCTGCGAGGGGCATCACAGAGGTCCTGAGAGTCTGACTGCCTACCAAACCACCCCGACCCAACCCGAAGACCCGAACTTGACTCGAATTTCGGGTTGGGGGTGGTACGGGTTCCATCTGTTTTTCCAGCGTTCCCCGACCCCCTCCCCACTGGAAACGGAAGGCAAATCGAGGCCTTCGGGTTGGGCTGGGGTGGCTTGGTCGGCGGTGAGAGCCCGGGGCCGCTCCGCACGAGGACTCCCGCGCATGACCCTCCATCGCCCGAGCTGGACAGTGACTGGCCAGTGCCCCGCCACTGCAGGCCCTCGGGGGCCTCCTGGTGTCCTGGGGACAGCTCGGCGGTGGACAAAAACCTCCCTTTGGTAGACCCCCCCTTCGTGAAAACGGCCTTGGACCGAATCCGACGGACCTGGACCCGCAAAGATGGCGGCCCCGACGCCCTCTCGCGAACCGAAAACGGCCAATTCCTGAATCGACGTGTCAGGGTAGGAGGTCTGTCCACCCCCGAACATCCTGGAGGCCTCGGGGTCAGCTTTCGTCCGTTGGAGGCCCGAACGTGCAAGAACAAAAACCGCTCAAGAGCCAAAGGCAGATCGATGATCTCGGCATCTTCGGGCCCTCACGAATGCCCTCTTGGGACCCTCCTAGGCCGCATCGGAGGCCTCTGGGGCTGCATTGAAACCATCTGGGGCCGTCTGGGAGCCGTCTCGTGCAGTCTCGAGGCCATGTTTAGGCCATCTTGGGTCGTCTTGGAAGCATCTTGGGCAAACTTGGAGGATTCTTGGCGCCATGGGGTCATCTTGAGACCAACATGGGGCCAGCATGGGGAGTGACACGCATTGACCCGCGCTCTTCGGGGGCTGTCGGAGGCTGTTGGCGCAGTCTTGGGCCCCAGTGAGGTCCGCCCGCAGACCCTCTCCTTTTGACTTGAGCTACACACCTGTAGGATCTAGCACGCCCGTGTCTCGTTGGGCCAGCGAATTGGTTATGGCTTCTTGGGGGCCTCTTGTGGCTTCATTGGCGGGCTGTTCTGAACCATCTTGGGTGGCCTTGGGGCTATTTTGGAACCTGCCACCAATTGTTCCTCGCTCTTGGGCCCTCATGGGGGCCGCTCGGGGCCCTTCTTGGGGCGCTCCTGGGGCACTTTTGAAAGATTTTGGCTTTCTCACATGTTCGGATTCCCGACGCTCCAGGACGGCCCAAGAGGCCCCCAAGATCGCCCCAAGACGGCCCAAGAGACCTCCAAGAGGGTCCCCAAACTGCCCAAGATGGCCCCAAAACGGCCCAAGAGGCGCCCAAGACGGTCCAAGAGGCCCCCAAAACGGCTCTAAGAGGGGGCCCCGACGGGGGACCCGAATGGACATTTGTAGCTCTCGGCTCTGGGAGGCTCCCAAGAGGCCCTAAGAGGCCCCCAAAAGGCCGCCAAGAGCCCCGAAGAGGCAGGAGCCCTACGAGGCCCCCAAGAGGCGCCCAAGAGGCCCCGCAGAAGCTCCCAATCCCAAAAGGTCCCCGACAGCGCTCCCCAAAGACCCGAAGAAGCATCCCTGAGGACTCTGACCCACAACCCAGGCACGGTGGCGGGATGGGCCGCAAGCCACTAGATCCGCCGCCAACAGGGGTGCCCGGCGTGCTAGACTTCTTACGGTTTGGTTTTGGTTATTTTCCAAAAATACTCATCCTGGGGCTTCGGCCCGTCCCGCCGGCCACCCAGAAGGGACCAGAAGGCGCGCAATTCTCAGAAAGGTCCGCCCAAGACGGCTCAAGATGGCTCTCGAGACCGCTCAAAGAGCCGAAGATGGGCCCCAAGATGCCTCCAAGATGGCCAAGATGGCCTCTAAGACAGCTTGGCCCCAGGATGCCTCCAAGACGGCCCAAGATGCACCCACGACGGGCTACGATACCCACGCGCGACCGGGCCCGCGACTTACCACCGACCCGCCCTCCGACCCAGCCTCGGACCCACCCACTGTGCTTTCAAAGGATAAAATCGGCGGCTCCGGCGGGCTCACTGCATGATTTGTAGAAGCTGGGCGGCGAGCTTCTTCAGAGCTTCGCAGACTGCGGACGTCCCCGCCGCCCTCTCACTCGTATCCGCAACTGCGGTGTGCTACGTCGTGTCGTTCCTCGGAAAACCGCCAAGCAGCATTCGGCATGGTCCGAGACGTCCATGCGAGGAGCCCGAGAGGGCGCAGGGAGCACCAGCGAGCCCAAGATCAATCGGCATCGAACGGGTAAACCGAATCGAACATGAGTGTGTATCGAATCGGACCGCATCGGCTCGGAATCGGAATCGGATCGGCGGCGCCAGGGCGCATAACCGGCGCCATGCAGGCACCGGGCCGCATCGCATCGCCCGAAAATCTGAATCTGAATCGAATCGGGCCAGGCCGGCCAGAGCCGATGTCGAAGCGGATCGATCGGATCGACGTGGCCACCGCGAGCCCCATCTGGCCTTCACGGGGGCCCCCAGAGACCACAGCAGCGCCCAGCAAGGCCTCGACCCGCAGGGTGCCTCAAGGTGCTGCCAATATCAGGCCCCAGTGTTGCCCCAGGATGGTTCAGAGGAGCAGCACGGGGTTCCGGGCCTGATCCTGCCACTCTCCCTCCGCCTCCCTTCGCCTCCTCATCACCTCCCTCCTCCTCCTCCTCCTCCTCCTCCTCCTCCTCCTCCTCCTCATCATCATCATCATCATCATCACTATTATCATCATCATGTCTTCCTTCTCCCCCTCGTACTTGTATTCTCCTTCTCCCAATCACCTGGTGAGCTGTCGGTAATAGCCTGAGCCCATGATTATAGCGCGGACTCTAGCGCGTGACCCTCGATTGCCCCTGGCGAAGGCGTGCTTCCAGAACAGCCTGGAAAAAAAACCAAGTATGGTCTCAGGGGAAGATCCCTTTATTCTACTTTCTAAAAAAGAAATTATCCCGGCAAAGCAACCTAACAGCGATGTGTAGGAGCATATCTGGAAGCATTCCCCTTAAGATTCAGATAAGAATCCTGTTGTAGAATTCTGCTGTTCTCGCAGTCGTGGTCGCATTCGCGATGGCAGTCGCAGTGGCAACAGCAGTCGCAGTCACAGCCTCAGCCTCAGCCTGCCTCAGCCTCAGCCTCAGCCTGCCTCAGCCTCAGCCTCAGCCTGCCTCAGCCTCGCCTCTCAGCCTGCCTCAGCCTCAGCCTCAGCCTCCTCAGTCTGCCTTCAGCCTCGGCCTCAGCCTGCCTCAGCCTCACCCTGCATCAGCCTCAGCCTCAGCCTCAGCCTGCCTCAGCATCAGCCTGCCTCAGCCTCAGCCTCAGCCTGCCTCAGCCTCAGCCTCAGCCTGCTTCAGCCTCAGCCTCAGTCTGCCTTCAGCCTCGGCCTCAGCCTCAGCCTGCCTCAGCCTCAGCCTGCCTCAGCCTCAGCCTCAGCCTGCCTCAGCCTCAGCCTCAGCCTGCTTCAGCCTCAGCCTCAGTTGCCTTCAGCCTCGGCCTCAGCCTCAGCTGCCTCAGCCTCAGCCTGCATCAGCCTCAGCCTCAGCCTCAGCCTGCCTCAGCATCAGCCTGCCTCAGCCTCAGCCTCAGCCTGCTTCAGCCTGCTTCAGCCTCAGCCTCAGTCTGCCTTC